TGGACATCAAGCAAATTCAGGATGACCTCTACAGCTGCAGAGAGATCCACCCTCCTCCTGTTTGTAGAAGGAGCTGGATAATGAGGGTTTTCCTTATATAAGGTTCACTGCCTGGTGAGTAGAAAACAAGAACGGAGTGAATGGAGTTTTGTTTACTTCAGTACAATAAAATAAAAATAAGAATAAAGGCTAATAATAAGTCCTTTCACTCAGTTTAGCTCACTAACATTTGCATAAAATAAAAGTATACCCTGAACCAAACTATATATACACCATGACCCAAAATTATGAGATTTTATGCCTGGGATATATACTTTGTGTCTAGGTTATTTACTTTGGGGGAATTGAAAATTCCAGATAACATTTGATTTCTGCTTTTATGAAGGCCACATTGAGAACAAAGCTAGAGATTAGTGAATGAGGAAGTATGAAATAGAAACAGTAGAATTTTAGAGTCAAAAGACTTACAGGCTAATTTTAGCCCAAGATCAAACGGAGGCCCAGACAGAATAAGACCTCCTGGGTTTGCAGCTGCTTGCAGACCCTCCTACACTCACTCCCTCCATCTCCTCTCTGCCTCATGCTGCTTCTAACCCCCAAGCTGAGGGAAGAGTGAGTGGTGAGGTGGAGAGGGCCTAAGAGAGCAGGGAGGACCCCTGTCTAGGGCTGCGGTAGCATCCAGGCCATGTGAGCCTATAAATCCGTGACAGCATCTAACATCTATAGTTGTGAGACATAACCTCTCATAGAGACAAGGCCAAGCTGCTTCAAGGCAATTTCATCAGCAGAGGCCACTAGCTTGATTTCACTACTAGGGGGTAGGGCACAATTATCAGCAGAAAGTCATAAAATGCATGAGTGTCCTTATCCTGATGTTCTGAAAGACTTTACCCTCTAAATATCTCTTAATGGAGAATTTCGCTGGGCCAAACACACGGAGAATGGGGCTGCTCATCAGCCAGGGAGACAGAAGAAATGCTTCAGTAAGAGCCTAACATCCATTGCCGGCATGTGTGCCAGACGCCTGGACAGGCTCTGAGACTGCCAGCCATGAGGAGCCTGGAGTGCTTAATGGTCCTTTCAGCCAAGGTCCTTGGCATCGCCCAAAAAGTGAGGGCTCAAGTCACTGTCACTGCCACCAGGAGGGCTTTCTGGCTCTGAGCATCCCCATCACACTGGAAACAGTCTCTGGAAGCAGCATTTCTGATTCCCAAAGGCCTAAGTACTGACACAGCCCCAGATACATGGACAGGAGAGGTCACCTCTCTTTTGACTTCTTGGACTTGCCACTTGGTGAAGAAGAAACACTAAGTGACGCAGCTCGGATGCCAGTTTCTCCCCCAGGCTGACTTGGTAGAACTGGAAAACTTCCCCTGCCAAATGCCTTCCAGCCTGCAAAGGAGAGCTTGTTCTTTGCAACCTTTTGCAAGTTAGTCCTTTGAAGGCCCCCATTCCTCACGTCACCATTGTGTTGAAAAACAGTCTTTCTCTTAACTGCCCACGACTTCCAAGATCTCGATCCCCACTTTGTTCAGACAGCAAACTCATACACATGGGATATGTGCGCGTGGCGTGTTTAACAGTACAAGGCCCTGGGACCACCGTCATAAAAGGGAAGGGAGCAAGACCCGAAGACAAGACAACCTCTAGACTTAGGGAGTTAAAACCCTTCTCTGGGGGATAAACTCTGCACATCAACAACGTTAATAGAATGCAGCTAGCGATGATGGCAAACAAAACCCGGGGCCTTTACAGGAGAGGAGCGGCTGCCCTTCCAGCTCCCAGGATGGTGGGAAGGGTGGGGAGCAGCGCATCACACTGCTGGAAAATGCCTGAGTCACGTCCTCAGCCATAAATGCAGCGGTTTTCCCACATATCCAGATTCATGTTTTTGCAATACTGTGTTAACATCCTTTCCTACTGTCCGGGTTACACTTTCACCAGTTCGTGATCATGCTTTACAGTTTCTGTCACCTTTAGTTCCCTTATTGATTCATCTGTTGATTCCTCTGACCTCTTTGACTGAACATGTCCTCACACAACAGAAATCAATTGGTTTGCCCCAGGATCAGATGATCGCTAGGGCAGAGCAAGGACAGATTCTTAGGGTGACTTTTTCCTAGGGGGGTTACCACTGAGAACAATGAGGCAGATTCACGTTACTCTTGGGACATCTGAGTAAAGTTTCTCCATTTTCCCTAAGGGCCAGGGAGAGCCTTTAAAATGTTAGTTAGGATACAACTCCATGGGGAGGAAGAGAACAGAAAAGGTGAAAAAAAACGTAAGGAAGAAGATGGGCGAGAAAATACTTTGGTCCTCTGTGTATTTAATTGAACCTTCTTGAATTGCTTTATTAATGCTTTTTTTCGTAATATCCTCAATATTCAAGATTTCATCTGTTATGAAATGTCCTTCATATCCTTAAAAAGAGTTTTTTTCATTCTCCCCATTCATTTAAGTATCAAATACTACCTAAATAATAACATGAAGTAATGTTAAATCTGCTGTCAGCCACTGGAATACATTGGAAATTTATATCCTAGTTGGACTAGACATTTAATAAATGGGTAAAAAACCAAAAACAAACATAGAATAAGGGGAAAGGGGAGGCTAGGCAAGTAGATAGGTTCTGTTCATGTACGGCCTTTGGTAAAGAGTTTGAAATTTTTTTTGCAGTGGGAATCACTGGAAGCTTTTAAGCCAAGAGTGATAATGATCAGACTTAGGTTTTAAAAGAGCGCTCTAGTTGCTGTATGGAGAATGAGCTGTCTATGGATGAGAGCAGATGCTGGAAGACCCTGAGGAGGTGGTTACAGACAGGGGTGAGGGGTGATGATGGCCTCAGGCGGATGGTGGCAATGGCCGGAGATGACAATAGATTTTGGATACCAACCTCTCACGGTGGAGTAAAAGTGGAATGAAGGTTGTCATAAAATGAGAAAAGGAGGCAATGATGATCCCGAGGCAGGGGCCTGAGCAGTAAGAGGGGCAGAATTCCTTTGTGGAGGAGTTTTAGTTGCCTCTTAACACTTGGATATTAATTTATGTCTTTTATTTTCTAGCACATGTATGTGTGCCCAGACAATGAAGTGGTTCCATGATGAAGTTTAAATGTTATTCAGGAAGAAGTCCATCCCACATTTTTTAATGCCTTCCAAAATCTTACCTCCAGTCACGTATTTGTTAACCCCTCTGGGTTCCCATGAGATATTTTAAGCGATGTCCCTGCTGCCACCCTCCTTAGTCCAAGTCTTGGACAAACACAACAGTCTCCTAACTGCTCTATGTTGTCTTCTTAAAATTTCTCAGTCCTTCTCAACATAATAGCCTGAGGAATCTTTAAAGTCACAATTTACTTTCCTGCTTAAAAATCTCCCGTGGCTTCCCATTGTGCTCAGAACAGTTCAATCAGCTTGCTGCCTTCTGAGATCTGGGAAGCCGGGCTACCTCAGTACCAACCCCCACCCCTGCCCCAGCCACTCCTGCAGCATTGTTCTTTCTGCCTTTCTATCTGCACCTTGGCCAGAGGCAGCTCATTATCACCTCAAGTTTCTCTTCCTGGGCTCATTCCACTGTAAGTGCTTTCTGTAGCCCTGTCCCTGGGTGCCCCTCCTCAGGAGCGCTGTTCCTGACCACACTGTGCGTAGACCCCCCACTGACACCCTCTATACAGCATTAGGCTGCTTGCATGCCTTTATCAGGCCTACCTCTCACTGAAATTTCTTATTTGCTGCCTTCCCCAGTCTTTCTTCTTCCTGGAATGCTCACCTAGGAAGGATGTTGGCACACAGCAAGCATGCAATAACATTTTGCTGAATTCATGAATTCTCATGCTATGCAAAATTTTGATAAGACTTGGATTGAAGCCTGGTATGAAGAAATGACTATATACGTCATATGCACTGACCAAAATGACATGTGATTGACTTCCTTTGCCATCTTGAAATTTAGAACCAGAAATGTTAGAGGAACTGTCATAGTACTTTTTGGGAAAGACAGTAAGGAAGACAGGACAAAAGACAAAATTAGCATGTACTAGATAAATATATGTATGAGATTTAGATACAGCCTGGAACAGTGGCTGGCACATATTAGGCCCTTAATACATTTTGGTTGAGTAAATGGATGAATGCATACCTGCAAAGGGGCTGAAAGCCTGCAAGTGATGCTCATAGTGCTTATCTGTCACTGAAATTACTTATTTGCTGTCCTCCCCATTGTCTTTCTCCTCCCTGAAATGCCAAAGATAAAAACACAATGATCAAACTTTAACTAATGGGGATATTTTAATTCCAAAATAGTTCTGTTGAGAGGAGAAAAATACAGTTTACCTGAGGCAGCCCTCTGTTAAACAGAACTAGGTTTGGTAGGGGACACGGGAAGAGGAGAGCCCCCCACCCCCCACCCCGCCACCGACTTGCTCCATGTGTGGGGGGGAATGGCCGCATGTTCATCTCACGGGCCTATTAGGGGAACATGCTACTCCAGCCCTTTCTGGCTCCACTGGAACCAGCCAAATGAGATAGGAGACCAAATAGGTATTATTCCCAATTAACTAGTGAACATCCAATGTGATAATTTTGCATCAGCTTCATGTTTCCTGGCCCTTTTGTTCTGATCAGACGGTATACACTGAGTTAGTAACCAAAGCAAAGCAAATATTTTGGCTACAGTGACTGTTTACATTAATGTTTGTTTTCAAAAGCACAGCCAGTTTGGGATAAATTAAATTCAATCTGCTCTGTTTCTGTTTTTAAGAACTGTTAAACTAAAATGACAAGGGAAAAAAGACACTTTTGTATCGACTGGATAAAATACCTTTCCTAGAAAAGAGCAAATTAAAACTAATACCGTATTTCAAATGCATGTTTTTAGATATCAGAAAAAAAGCTTCACAAGAAAGTGAATAATCCACACAGGTGATTAGTAATAATCATTAAGAGTAATGATAATTAACATAATACCACTAGGAGGCATAAGATGTCCAAATAGATTCTTACCAAGCCACCACCAATGACAGCTATCTTTATTCTTTGAATGTCAGATGGATCCATAATTGTCAGTGTTTCTTGTAACTGCTGTAGCTTCTGTAGGAGAAAACTGTCTCCTACACACTGACCTTCCCCAGTCTTTATACCCTAACGCCCAGCATTTGTAAGCCAGTAGCAATGTTGGAACAGGGCTGATTTCCCTTGAACTTAGAGAACAGGGTTTAACCCATTAGTAGCCGCAAGTGCCATCAGCTCAGCTTTAAGAGAAAGGGATTTAGCAATCCCTCAATTTGGAAAAATCCAGCCAAGTGAAAACATTCTCGTTTATCTTACCTGTAAGACACGGAATGTTTTTCAAAGCACAGTCTTCTGGCTTTTCTTCTTTTTCTATAGCGTGTATTTTTACTTTCATTTTCATTCATGCTTAACCATGAGTAAAACCTTTCTCCTCTAAGTCCAAAGCACCTTATACTAAAGCGGCATGGTTTCCCTAGAGATTGTAGATTATTCTTGTTCAGACCGGCAGGAATGTCACCTAGAGGGTCCTCGTGGACTGTCCTTAGCAGACTACCAGGGAAAAAATTTTTTTTTGTCTAGTTATTCTCCTGAGCAGGAGTTGTAATTTGTGAATGACCATAGTTCCTCTTTTTTGCTTCGGATGTTAGAAACCTTACAATCTAAGTTTGTGCATTAACAAAAGGGGAGATGGTTAATACCGTGCTTCTCGGAAACTCATTCCTGGCTTCATATCATCTCTCCACTTTTGTCTTTTTGCACTCCATTTTAAATGCGTCTTATTTGTTTTCTGCACACATTTGTGAATTGAGGGTTTTTCCCCCTCTGGAACATGAGGCATAAGATAAAGTAAGAACATCATGAGGACGCGACCTCATTTCTGGGGAGGGCATGGAGAACGCTGAGGGGTTTGCCCTGGTGAGAACTTGAGTTCAGTATCATTGTATAGCGACCCCTTGTGGAAAAGTGTGGTTAGAGCGGCCGGAAAACGTTTTGTTAGGTATTTTAATTTATTCATTTTGAATAGGTAATACCTTGGTGTGGTATGAAATTTAAGCCACAAAGGGTACACAGCCGGCCATTCTTCCTCTGACCCTGTCGCCTGGTCCCCCGTGTCTCCTGCCCAGAGACAACCGCTCTTTCTGCGTCTGGGTTACTCTATTCCTCAAGGCTTTTGGCCCTCTCCCCAGTCTTCCCTCCCTCCCGCTCTTTCCATATGTAATAGCACATCTTAGGCCCTTTTCCACACCCTATTTTTCCATCTTGTAGTTAGGGGAATTCGTCATTATCAATATATAGACAGAACTGTCTCTTTCCTTTTTTAAAAATTATGGGCTGTAACACAAAGAAAGACACAAGGACAAGAGGGACTCCACTCAGGAACACGTCTCTGTGGTGGGACATGCACCTAACTTGAAGACATCCTTAGCCTTGTGCCTGACCAAACACAAGTTTTAGGTTAACTTGATCTGTGATGACTTACTATTCACATTCTTTTTTCCTAAAAGCCTCTGTCTTAAGAAAACTTATTGACTAACAGACTGAGATTATAAACTGATGTCTGTTAAACATCAAACTAGTGCTTCACTGGAGACAATGGTGTGAAGATAGCAAGAAAGAGCAGTCATTGTCACACCTTGGAACCCCTGGGTCTGCAAAGACTGCCTTTCTAAACTCTACACCCCCCCTTTCCAGGGGTCCTGATTTCTCTCTTTCCATGGCTCCCGTGGATGTGAGCTGTCTCTAATAGGCTTCTCCTGCTTGCTTCCTTTCCAGTTCTGTGTTCATTTCTGTAACACTGAAACTCAAGACCTGATCTTGGGTTTCTGGTAACACCAGAAACCCAGAATCTTCACGTGTGCCTTGCCTAACACCCTCCTTCATAGAGGTAACTGCCATCCTGACTTTATCACTTCCTTGCTTTTATTTATAATTCTACTGCCATACATGCATCCTTATAATAGTTGAGTTTTGCCTCTTTACTATAAATAAATTCAGGCCTTTTATTTCCCCTTTGCAACTTGCTTCTTTTTCTCAATATTATGCTTCTTAAGATCCATCTGTGTTGTTGGATGTAGTTCTAGATCATATTCTATTTTTGATAGGCATTTGGGTGTTTCCAATTTTTTAATATTACAACTAATACTGCTGTCATGACCAATCATATATACATACCATGTAGTGCACATATGTGTGAGTATCTCTAGATTTTACATGCTGTTTATGCCTATTTTTAACTTTCCTAAATAAGCCAAAGTTATGTTCCAAAGTATTGTACTTCCACTGGGCACGTGGACTTCCTAGGTTTTGCAGATCACTGAGTTTGTCCTCTATCTTGTTGGCATTTTAATTTGCACTCTTTGTTGATGAAGTTGAGCACCTTTTACTGTTTATTTGCCATTTGCTTTTCTTCTTTTGTGTAGTGTCCGTTTAGGGCAGAGGTCCAATAAGGACATACTGGTGATGGAGGAATGAGGGTGGAAAATCGAAGCAGTTTCCTTGGGAGGCTGTAGAACCTGGCACATTTATGGAAGAAATAATTTTTTTCTAAGTGCATGGGGAGAGTGTTTGTTAGTTTCCTTGTTAATTTTAAGATTTTTGTTTTTCATGGTTATTTAACATGCACAGTTTTAAGAATCAAAAAGTTCTATGAGGCATTTGACATACAGAGTAATCTCTCTGCCTCTCTGCCATCTGTCTCTGTGCAGATCCACCATCCAACTCCAGGAAATCCAACTCCACATTTCTAAATAATGTGCCAATATTATTATTTATTTATTTGTTATTATTATTTCTTGGCTTTTTTAGTTTGTGGTTTTAGGTCATGACTTCACTATCAAAGATGAGTATTAATATTTTTCACCTCATTATTTTTAATATCATTATGACATAAGTTTTATTAGACCAGTGTTCAATATTTGATTTATTACAACTATGTCCATTAAACTTTCTTAATAGTTATTTTTCCTAGCCTGCAAAATACAACTATTTTCATTTCTCAGTTTAGTAATTGTCTTGTGCTGTGCTGAATTAAGACATCACAAATTCAATCCCCAAACTCTCTCCAATCATCTATGTCTTGTATGAGTACATTCAAGGCTTTAGATAGTTTATATTCTTGAAGAAATGTCACCTGAAGGCTCCAATTTGCTCCAGTCTGGGGGGTTGCTCCCTGTGTTGAGTGCAAGCTGCCATACGTTCACCTGGGGAATTTTCCATGTCTTTGTTGCCTGTGTTGGAGAACCAATTTTCCAAAGCTCTTGACTTCCTTTCTTGGCTTACTTTCTAGTTATGGTGGAGCACTTTCTCCAGGGGTTTTCCAAAAATGGGTAGATGGGAGGTACATTTTTTGAGACTTGCCCAGGTGAATATATTTTTTTATCCTAATCTCACACTTGGCTAGGTATAGAATATTAAGCTGGAAATAATTTTCCTTCAACAATTTGAAGACATCAATCCACTGACCTCTAGTTGCCAATGTTGCTGTTGAGAAGTCATTAAAATTGCTACTGATCCTTTGTATTCAGCTTATTTATTTTTCTCTCTGGAAGCTCTTCTCTTTGCTCCCAGTATTTTAACATGTCTTGATGACATGATTTGTTCTCTCCTGTGTCCCCACTGTTTTGGGCACTTGGTGGACTGTTACTGTAAAAATTCCTGTCTGCTAGTCCTAAGATATTTTCTTGAACTTACTTATTTAATGGTTTTCTCCACTTTGTCTTCCAAAATTATTGAAATGTTGGACATACTGGATTGTTTCTCTAATTTTATTAACCTCTCTTTCCTATTTCCCTTTATTTTGAATATTTGTTATACTTTCTGGGAGGCTTTTATAGCTGTATCTTCCAACCTTTCCACCTAGCTTCTTCTAAAAAATCCCTTAGTAATCTCCCAGGCTGAGAAGTATCCTAAATTATAATCCTCAAGACTTTATTTAGAATACTGAGAATATTTTGACCTATAGGAATCAGAACTTATTATCAATTTTGTCAACAAGGTATAGAGGCTTGAAACACAGAAAAGAGAAAACAATTGCATTTTTAATTGAGTCCCATAACTTGAACAGAAAGAAAGTAAAACAGAAGCACAAAACAACCCTGCAAATATCAGCAAGAAAGCAGGTCGATAGTATTATCAGACAAAGTTCAAGGTTAAAAAAAAAAACTCTTAAGCAAAATAAAAACTTTATTTACATAGATAAAAGGTTGCATCCCAAAATGAAGACATGTCAATCATTAATTTAAAGGTATTTATATTACAATTTTGTTAAATAATGAAATAAATGAACAAAGCCAATGTTTCCCAAATTTCAATAATTTGTATAGCACTTTTACAATAAATTTAATACTTTGTTTCAAATCAATTTAGTTAAATAAAAATGTAAACTTTGTATTGCTGCTGCAGATGAAAATTAGTTTAGTAAATAGAATAGGAACAGACTAATAAATACTAAATTGTAGCTGAATTCTATACCTATAGATGAACTTTAGTTAAAGGCTTTCCCTCTATTTTTAAAAAAGATACGTGTTAGAGAGGTGTGAAATATACAATCACACCAAGGAGAGAATCTTTCTTACCAAATGGGAAGGACTGGAAGACAATAAAAAATGCAATGGTGGTCAATGTTATTTAATGTTCATTCCTAGGCCACCTACAGTCACTGGGGACTCAGGACTGATATGCATCCCAGCCTTGTAGAAAGTCTGAGCTAGAATTCAACCAGAAAGTTGGAAAGAAAATACAAAGTGAACAAATAAGAAAAAAAGAAATTAATAACCAAAAAGAAATATTTTAATAAAACAAATTAATATATGGAAACATAATTTGATTTCTAGAAAATACAGATTGTCATGGGAAGCTGTGTGTGATGAACCAGCTCCTCTGCTGACAAACACTGGGCAATAGGTGTTTTCTCTTTATCCTGAGAAAATGCCTCGCTCACTGAAGAAATCATCTCACAGGAAATTAAAAGGCTGAGAAAGATGAGTCAAAGAGGACAATAGCAACCAGTTGCAACTTTTGAAAAATTAATTTTATGACTTCTGTAAAACCAAAAACCAGGAATTAAGGGGAAAAGCAAACAAGGCAGAGATGGCTCAGTGGGCTTAGAGACAGAGAGAGGTG